CATTTAATGGCTCAGACAGAGCGAGGATGCAAGACCCCTGATCTCGATTAGCTGATGGCTGAACCCCCTGACGCTGACTGACCTCGGGCTGCAAGGCCCAGATTGAGTTCCCCATCCTTCTGAATGGTTGAACTCCGCAACCTTCTATTACAGGTTTCCCACACCCTTTCTTTAAAGATGTTCAAAGTTGGGAACTCAGAAAAATACCCTTGATGACCACCTCTGTCTTTGCAGAGTGGGTCCAAAGACTGGCACAGTCAGGAGATCTGAGAGTGCGGGAGGGGGGGCTTATGGGGGTTCAGGGACGCCTGCGCGGCTACCTTCCTGGCGCTTGAGCAATGGCTGCTGGGTCGGGAGCAGGCGTGGCTCTCCTTCCCGTGGTGGATCGGGGCCCAGCCTACCTAAACAACTCTTTAACAATAAACTTAGACAAACCTAGACAAAAAGGACCATTTACTTGAAAGACACAACTTGAAAAAACAGGTGAATAGATAAATGAACTGGTACATGCAGACAATAGAATATTATTCAGAACTGAAAAGAAATAAGCCATCAAGCCATGAAAGAACAGAGAAAACTAAATGCATATTAAGTGAAAGGAGCCAACCTGAAAAGGCTGCATGTTGTATGATTCCAGCTGCTTGAATCTGGACCAGGAAAACTATGCAGATAGTAAAATGATGACTAGAAGATTTGGGGACAGTGAAAATATTGTGTATATACTTTTTGTTCAACCCCATAAAATATAACCCTAATAAAAAAAAAGTGTGGACTATGAGTCTAATGATACATCATTTCAGTTTCATCAGTGGTAACAGATGTACCAACCCATTTGGTGGAGATTATTGATAATGGGTGAGGTTATGTAGGCATGGGCATGGAGCTAGGGGGAATTCTCTGTGCCTTTTTAATTTTGCAGTGAACCTAATGGATCTAAAAGAAAAATAGTCCTTTCAGACCATTGTTGAGGTTGAGGTAAGTGACACATGCCTTCAACCACATGAGACTTATAAAAGCTGTCAGTGTGAGTCCAGCTCTGGAATCCTTGACTCATTTTTCCTTTCTTACTCTCTAACACTGTAAGTTTGGTACAGTGATCCAAATTGTTTTCCCTGTGAATACAATTCTATAAGGTTATATTCTATAATGTAAGTGACAAATACACTAAGGACTTATACTGAAAAAAAATTAAGTATTTCTTTCAAACTTAGATAATTTTTGCTTAAGTAAACATTAGGGAAGAACTCTTCTCTCCAGTTTGGCTAACATCAGCATGGACCTTTTGTGGCTATTCTTTCTTATCATTTATTCCAATTATATACTGATCTCTGTACCCTACCATTGAAATTCTTTCATTTGGAATAATTTGAGGATCAGTAAAGCTGGTAACTATAAGCCTTGAAATATTAAGTACATATGTGTAAGTGATTTCATAGTGATGTTAAGAAAATAAAAATGAACTATTCGCTTTTTGTTAACACTGGCGAATCGGTTGTTTTTGATGTTGTTTTGAAAATTGAGAAAAAAGTTTAAAAATTAAGAATTTATCTTGGCTTTCTCCTATGACTGTATCGAAAGATTTCCAGATTGTTATTGAGGGAAAGCTTCTCTTTTGTAGACCAGATAATGAATTAGATGGAATAATATAATTAAATGATGGTCAGTTTGTAATTCTGTGAATTAAAAACTCTAGGCAAGGATTTTCTATATTTTATGTATACTTTCAGTTTTATTTTTATCAGTCCATGTTTGCAGTACATAGTGATCACATTCCTCGTGGAGAGTTGGTACCTGCACATAACACATCTTAATTCTTTTTTATCCTATCTTTTCTCCTCTCTTCATCTCTAGGTCCCCTACCTTTTGTGAAAGGTCTATCTCCCTTTTTCTTATTATCTTTTATTTTGATCTTTATGTTTTAGGTATCTCATATAGGAGAAACCATGTGATATTTAAGCTCCTGTGTCTGATTTATTTCACTTACCACGATTTCAAGGTGCAGCCATTTTTCTATAAATGGTTCAAGTTTATCCTTTTATGTCAGAATAGTACTCCTTTTTGTATAAATACCACAGTTTCTTTATTCATCTGTTGATGGGCGTGTTGTACTTCCAAGATGTAGCTATTATGAATTGTGCTGCTATAAACATGGGTATGCATGTAACACTGTAATATTTTGTCTCTCTTGAGAAGACATCTAGAAGGAGAATAGCTGGGTCAAATGAGTTGCAGTTTTTTGAAGAATCTTCTTTCTAATTTCCATAATGGTTGTACTAGCTTACATTCCCACCAACAATGTAGAAGAGTTCCTTTTCCCCTACAGCCTTGCAAGCAATTATTATCTGATTTCTTGATGATAGCTATTCTTTCTGGAATAAGATAGGATCTCAGTGTTCTTTCAATTTGCGTTTATTTCTCTAATGGCCAGAAATGTTGAGTATTTTTTTCATGTATTTATAGGCCATCTTGTACTTTTTCTGAGAAGTGTCTGTTCTTTTCAGTTGCCCATTTTTGATTTGGCCTTTTATATTAGAGAGATTCTATTTTTTTTTTTTAGCTCTTTGTATATTCTAGATATTAGTCCTCTGAGGAGTAGCTCGCACATTTTCCCCTATTCTGTAGATTCTCGTCACTCTGTTGATTGCTTCCTTTGCTGTACAAAAGCTTTTAAATTTGTTAGAATCCCATTTGTTGATTCTTGATGTTATTTCTGGTACAAATGGTTTCTATTTAGGAAGTCCTTTTCTATACTTACGTCTTCAAGAATTTTACCAGTTTTATCTTCCAGCAGATTATTTCTGTTTTAACATTTAGGTTTTTGGATCCATTCTGATTTTAGTTTAGTGCATGGTGAGAGTGATGGTGTTGATTCAGTCTTCTTCATATGGATAACATATGAAGAACCATTTGTTAGGAGGTTGTCTTACCTCCAGCGTATGTTTTTGGCCCCTTTGTCAAAGAGCCGGTAATTGAATGAGACACGGATTTTCAGTGGTGCCACATCGCAGAGAGATCATGATATATTATGTATCTCCTAGTGGAAGTAGGCATCACCACATAGGGAGAATTTTTGCCCAAAACTGTAAGGCTGAACTGGACACAGATTTCTAGTGTAGATATTCTGAAGAGAGGAGAATAGAAATGTGTATTAATATCATGGGTATGCAATCAGTAAAATCTAAACCCTCTTGAAATTCAGTAAGAGCCATTTCTTTAAATTGGAAATTGAAATAGGGTATTTATAGAATGAGAGACTTCAGACATAAGCTAATTGCAATGTATATCTTATTTGGATCTTGATTTGAGCAAAGAAGCTAATATGTATGTATGCATACATATATATCTTCATATGTTAATTGGAGAGATTTACACATAGGTGAATATATGAGATAAATGAATTACTTAATATTTTAAGTATGTAATGTTTTCTTTTTTTTTAAAAAAGAATCTGTTCTTTGGAGACATATAATGAACTATGAAGTGATAAGAAATCTGAAATTCACTTTGGTCTACAGGTTCATGGGCAAATGGCACATATAAAGGAAGTAAGGTTAGCTATAAGTTGATAATTGTCAAAGCTGTATGAGGAATATATAGAAATTCTCCATTTATATACTTGAAATTCTATAGAATACCTCAACAAATATCAAGTGTTGATTATGTGGCTTGTACCTTGTCAGTTGTATGTTTTGCATTGGTCAATAAAGATGTAAATTGTCACTAAACTTACGGAACTTTCAATCTCCAGGGGGAAACAGATGATAAAGTAAATAGAGAAATAGTTGCCAGGTGTGGTGGTGCCTGCCTGTAATCCCATCACTTGGAGGCTGAGGTAGGAGGATTGTTGTGAGTTCGAGACCAGCCTGGGCTACATAGTGAGTTCCAGGTCAGTCTCAACTACATGGTGAGACCCTGTCTCAACACCCAACCCCCAAAAAAAGAGCATGTTAGAAGTTGTGATCTGCGCAGATATATGAAGGATGTAGTGGTAGAGAATATGTAACAGGGAAGCAACTACCTCTGGGCCAGAAGGGGTAGGCCTCTCTTAGAATGGGACAACTCAGTGGAGAGCTGAAGGGTGAAAGTAGCCAGTCTCGCAGAGACTGCAACAGGTTACAGACTGTGTGAGGAAGGGCTTTATGTGGCTCTACTCATTATCTCTGCTCTGAGAGCAAGGACTCCACTGTTCAGCTACATGTTGCTGTAACGCTTCTTTGGTTGATTGTCTGTCTGTATTCGTGTGTGACTACCTCAGATCTAATTGAAGTACAAACTGTAGAACTGCTTGTAAGTCCTGGCATAGTTTCTCAGGCACTAGATGGATGTCAATAGAACATGCCTTTTTAAGAGTACTTCTTTACACATAGACTTGTCAAAATTCTCTTAAGAATGTAGATAAGAATAGTCTCCAGTCTATGAACAGAAGAATCAGCAGTTAAATCGGCACACATCCTAATAATCCTAGAAATAAAAGAAACATGTTTTGGCTTCCGGATTATGTTTTGCTATGATAGCAGCCACAAATCCTGTACTTTAGTTACTCTTTTGACTGTTAGAGTAAAAATAAATATTGCTTTTTGTAGTGCCTGCATTTCATACATGAATAAAAGATGTTGTTATATATATAATCTATTATATATTATATAATAGATTATATAATAATATATAATAAAATATGTTATATATTAAGTATATTTTCCAATGACAAATATGAATCAGGCCAGTGGAGAGACTCAATAGATGTTAAATAAGTGATTGATGTTTTCTATAAACTTTTTCTTGCCAGATCCTTCTCCTTGAGTCTAATCAGCTCCTTCCACCATATTTGTTTAGGTAATTCTTTTCTACTCCTCTGGACCAATTCTGTGTCCTTGGATTGTTTTTGAAAAACTACCCTTTTCCTGATCAACTCCTGGTATTTGGGGCCAGAGTGTGTGTGTATGGTGGGGAAGTTTTGCTTATTTCCATGATGTGCTCATTTCCTTTTTGTTCCCCTGTAGACATATTACAGAAGCCACACTTGCCATTGTGAAAGGAGAGACCATTCCACTTGATGTCCTGCAGATCAAGGTGAGGTCTCTTCAGATTTTGAAACAGTTATCACAGTGATACACGTATGTGTTATATGTCATTTAAATGCAACTTTGAACACAACTGTCCCTCTTCCCTTCTTATCCCAAGTGTTCATCCCTAGAGAAGAAAATTTGCCTGTTAATTCTACTTCTTATCAATAATTAATATTCTTAAGATCCTACTTTTTTTTTTAATGTGGTGTAGGGGCTGGGGATGTAGCTCAGTGGCAGAGAGCTTGCTTAGCATGCATGAAGCCCTGCATTGAATCCCCAGTACTACCAAAAATAAAAAAGTTTCAAAATTGTGATACAAGATCACATATCATATAATAACCTTCTCAGCCCTTTAAGTGTATATAGTTCTTAGGGGAAAAGGAAATAAGGGAAAAGAAAAAAAATAAGAAAATGTAAAAATGGAATTAAAGTGTTGGTAGGTAGGGAGGGGAGGAGGGAGTGAAGGGAGGGTGGGGACAAGGGGAAAAAACGAGAACCAAGACCTGTCATGTAAAGGTTCAAGATCCCAATGATGAATGTAACTGTACTGTATACCTAAAATGTACCAATAAACTCAATGACAGAAAAAAAAGTGTATATAGTTCAGTATTATTGAGTGGGTGATGCTCCATTGTAGTTTGTCAGTTTTAGACCTTATCTCAATCACTTCGTTACATATAAGAATTCCTAGGTAGACATGGTGGCTCATGCTTCTTATTTCAACTACTCTGGAGGGCAAGGCAGGAGGATCACAATTTAAGGCCCACTTCACATTTTAGTGTGAGACCCTATCTCAATAAAATGAGGGCTAAGAGTCAGCTTTATTCTTTTATATCTCTTTCTAATATATTAGTACCTCTATTGGTTACCTTTGGAACGCAGATATTAACATTATTTATATACCTCCTGTAGTTATTACAAGAGCTCAAAATCATAAGGTACTTAGGATAGTGGCTGATTTCATTTTACCTCTCCCTTTCTGTATATCCTACTAAAAGTGAAATCTTATGTGCTGTCTGTCCTTTGGAGGAGCTTGTCTTTGGAATTCAGATCACTTGGTGTGGTCTGTGTGTCATATCCCTGACTAGCTCAATAAAAGATAGGATTTTGTAGATTATATTTTTCTTATTTTCAGTGTGGAAATAAGGGGTTTTTTATTTGTTTTTTGTTTTTTTGTAGCTTCCTACATCCTAGGTGAGAACAGAACTTTGCATTTCTCTATTGGATTGTCTAATTTTTTCTTACTGATTTGTGAAGGAATTCATAAGTTTTAGAAATACATCTGCTAGCTATCCCTACTAAAAGGGCTCAAATGCAGTGATGTCCCACAGCAGTGAGATTTTAATCTTTTAATGCTAGTCCCTAATGAAAATAGCCAGGACTCTGTGAAGGGATAGTTTTCAGAGGCAGAGGAAGAACAACAAGGTAAGGACATATTAAAAAATTGACAGTAACCTTGCAGAAAGACATAAGAGCCAGACTGATGGGGGGCATTATTAAAAAGAATAACTCCTTAAGAAGTGAAGAATTGGGCCGGGGATTTAGCTCAGTGTTTGGTGGCCTGGCTTGCAAGCGCAAGGACCCAAGTTCAATCCCCAGTACCAAAAAAAAAAAAAGAAGTGAAGAATACCCAAGCCCACAGTGATGTTACAGAAGAATAGCTAGCTTGTAAATATAGAAGGAGTGATAGAATAAAAATATTCCCATTTTTCAGTCACTATTTTGATTCAAGTCAAGATTATCAATTGATACAAAAGCCATTGGTCAAAAGCTGTTGGGAAACATCTAAACAGTCTCAAAACCATTTAACGATTTCTCCACTTTTAGAGTAAAAAAATCTATCATACGCCTCTTTATCTAAATTACTAGATTTGGTGTCTCCAGTAATGGAGCAAGCTGACATTGTCTGCCTCTTGAGATAATGTACTGTGACACGCAACTTCAAAAATGTCATTCCCCCCACCAAAAAAAAGAAAAAAGATAGAAGGGCTGGGAATTTAGCTCAGTGGTTCGGTGGCCTGCCTTGCAAGCGCACGGACCGGAGTTCAATCCCTGGTACCCCCCGAAAAAAAAGAAAAATCATTTTCTTCCTCTCATGCTTAACTAATCTGAATCTAATATTAAGAAAATAATTGGATAAATGCAGATCATGGGGCATTGTAAACAACACTATGACTAAGATTCTTCAAAAGATGTCAATGTTATGAAATCCAAAAGAAGGTAGAAAGTGTTTAATGTTAAGGGAAACTAAATAAATTAATATAAGATCCTGGTTGGAAAAATGAAAAGCAGTGACAAAATAATCATAATTATTGGGATAATTTAGAGATATTTTAGTATTAATTATATATTACAGATTATATATTGATGTTCAGTCCCTGCAACTATTGGGCTTGAATCCAGGGGTGCGTTACTACTGAACTATATCCTCAGCCCTTTGAAAGTTTTTTTGTTTATTTGTTTGTTTTTACATTTTGAGACAGTGCCTTACTGAGTTGCCTGTGCTGGCATTGAGCTTGCAACCCTCTTGCCTCAGCCTGCCAAGTAGCAAGGATTGAAGGGGTGCAGTAGTGTCACTGTGCCCAGCCCAGTGTTAGATTTCTTGAGAGTGCCATTGGTTATGTGTATGTCCTTGCTCTTGGGAGATACATGCTGAAACATTTGGAGGTGAAATGTGCAACTTGTAAATTTGACAACTCTGTAGGATAACGCTGTTGTGGGGGGATGTTGGGAAGAGTGAGTTTAAGTGAGAGGTATAAAAGTTTTCATTGTACTTATTTAAACTTTTGATATGACATTTTTCCAAAATAAAAATTGAGGGAGAGAGCAGAGGAGGGAATATCTAAAAGACATTTTGAATTCCAGGATCTTCTCCTTAAAACTAATTTAATTCCTAATTTAATAGATATTCTTACTGGGTATTAAGCACTCCTTCTTCATCTAAACATTTTTTTTTCTTGGCAAAAAAAGTGGGGGCAAATTCCTAAGAAGGTGGAGCTGTGAAATTGAACCACCCTACATGTACTCTACTCAGATTTGCCCTTAAAATGTACCAGCTACATTCAGGATAAATATATTTATCCCTTTCCTAATATTTGCAGAAGAGGAGGCTGTTCTGTGACATGTTCCTAAGCTTCTGTCTCCAAACGTTGCTATTAGTTATACTGGTTGAGCTTCCCTAATCTAAAAGTCTAAAATCTGGGCCTGACCCAGAGTTCAGATTTTAGAAGATTTTGGATTTTTGGTTTAGTGATGCTGAACCAGTAAAGTCTGTGCAGATATTCCAAAATTCAGGGAACTCTAAAATGTAGAACACTTTTAGTCCCAAATGTTTCAGATAAGGAATTCTCACACTATATGAGAGTTTGCTGTGTGCATATTTATAATTATCAAAAGAGCATATGAGTTCTTAACCTGTTTTCTTGTTATTTTTCTTTCTTCTTCTTGCACTAATGTCTAGACTCTCTACCACAGTCTCATTGGGCTTGATAAAGCCCAATTATATTACCATTGATTTTTCAACATACAATAAGTTGTTCTCACAAAATGGGAGGGCTATCCTGAAAGAAATTCTACCCTACCAAATATACTGCAGGTTATCTATGATGATATTATTTTTAAATATTTTATGATTAAAGAAGGTGAGTCAGGATGTACCTCTTAATAACTGAGTGATTTGCTGCTTGTTTTACATGCCTTGGAAGTAATACATTCCATAGTAACTACAATTTAACGGGAAAGTCCTGCTGTGTTTTTTATTTAACATGTTCATGGTGGGGCTGTAATTCATGTGTCTCACTGCCGGCTGGCTTGAACCACTGGCAGTCCACGCATGACTCCCATTGGGCAGCTTTTTATTAATTTTATAGTTTTATTAGTTTAAAAGACTTGACAGAAGTGATTACATCTGTTTGTACTGCCTCATGGGACAGTCATGCATGTACCACTGGTGGTTCAAGCCAGTGGGAATGTGTTAAATGTCTCTTGCCTCCTCTTTCTTTTTCTTTCAAATACATTGATTTTGTGAATTGATGAAACCAGTGTCAAATTTACCACAGATTCTGTGTATTGATGACGCAGCCCAGGAAGCCAGAAACTTTTAAATCCAGTTCCTAGGAAACATGATGCAGCAGCTGCTACTCTGGATTCTGAGGAACCCAGCTAAACTGCATGCTTTTTTTACTTTTCTTCTCATTTCTGAAAATTGCTTTCAGAATATGGAGACAGGCTTTAGAGACAAAGCCTGATACTAAATTCTTCTTTTAGAGACTAACTCAAACCCCACATATAATGAATGATTTCTCAAAGATAAAAAGTAGATTTTATTTATTTATTTATTTATTTATTTGGAGACAGGGTCTTACTATGTAGTTGAGATGGACCTGGAACTCACTATGTAGCTCAGGCTGGCCTCGAACTCACAGCGATCCTCCTGCCTCAGCTTCCTGAGTGCTGGGATTACAGGTGTGTGCCACCATACCCGGCTAAAAAGTAGTTGTTAGAAACTATGGTAATGTCTTATGTTTAACTTTTTACATATTTTAGTATGTTCACATCTTATCTGAACTTCCAACATGGTGAGGAAGTCAAGATATGTTGTATATCTTCATTTGACAGATTTAAAAATGTCACTGGTCATGAGCCTTATTGTGGTGGAGGTGGAACTACAAACTAGATTTCTGTCTCATGGTCTGTTGCTTTTTCCACACTGCTTTTTGCAGGTGGTATTACATCTGGCACTATCATGTGATTTTTTATTTTTTTGGTACTGGGCATTGTACTTGGGACCTTGCACTTGTGAGGCAGGCGGTGGAACCCCTGAGCTAAATCCCCAGCCCTCATGTGATATTTAAAGAGCATTTTTAAAAAAAATAGACATTTGTGATGCACAGTACTTGACTTTAAAGAAAGCATTGGAAAGATTTGTGGTGTTCTTTGTAGTTCTTTTGTTTTTGCTCTTCTGATTTGTTTCAGCTCAGAACCAAATAGGGGACATGGTGGGGA